CTTTCCCTAAGCTGATTGGTGTCTGGTTATAGGTGCATAAATTATTTGTTCAGTTGCCTAATTTTAAGATTGGCTACATGTATAAAGCAAGCCTTTCCCAGTATATTTAGAACTTACGTTGCTAGTGTAGAGAACAATGACAGCATGTTAGAAGCCACATATAAAATGTAGTTGTTTGTTTTTACAAACATCAAACAGGAGCATAGCATGAACATGACTTGCATGTAAGTGTGCAACAGTCTGTTTAGAGAATTTACCAAATACAAAGCTCTTTTCTACTTGTAGGTACTACTAAAATGGAAGTATAGGATTTAATTGGACGTCACTTGCTATTTTGAGACCTGCAAACCACCTGGATAATAACAGAAGAGGAAAAGGAAGCATGGTCTGTTAGCTCACATACAAAAGAGGATGCTGTGGTGGGATAGGTTGTGTAACATGATAAATCCCTACAGTAATCTTTTGTAAATATCTATGAACATGGGAAATGAAGACTAGGGTTTTTCCCCTTCAACTTTAAAATGCCAATCAAGCTTTGTGTACCAATATTTAGGTATGTACACCAGAAATTTTGAGTGAAATCTGTGTCTACTTTGAAGTAGAGAATAGCACTTATACACTGCAGTACTGAAGTACTTTTGAGCAAATACTGGAAGTGGCATAGTAATGAATTCTGAATTAACTTAAATCAGTTTGTTTCCTTTGTGTGCCTTAACATCAGAGTCTTGCATTGGCTCTATTTGTGTTCTGCAAACAGAGCTCACAAGTAGACCCGAAGTCTGCCTCTTAATTTGGATGTTCTCTGTATGGACTCAGTGCCACTAGTTTCATATGCTTTAGTGCTAGGAAGCTGCTAATTCTGGAATTTCCTCACTTTAAAAGGTTGAGTGTAGCAGTCTTGTCCTGCTTGCTGCCTACTTTTATGTTAATATCTCAGCCAGCTTTACATTAAAAGTGCGTACTTGTGTCAGTAACATAAATCCACACAGGAATTTATGTGCAAGGAGCATTGGCAGTGGTGTAAGTGTTGCATGCATATTTCATTTTGTCTGTGTAGTTTGGCAAGTGTTGACGACTTAATAGAAATGCTCACTTGTAATACAATGAAAACAAAGTTAGGAAAAGAGTAAGTAGCTTTCTTTTTTTTAAGAAAGTGTTATTGTTTGGATAACTGACTTCCATCTGTTACCCTGATCAGTATGTATATGTGATCCACTAGTAGTTCCTTTGGGACTTCCACAGATGAAACTTTCATCTGTGCCTTATGACAACTGGAAGCTTAGCCTGATCCACCCTGTGCAAGATGTTCTGTTTCAGGTGAGAGTTAGGCCAACACCATATGGTGGGGAGCTGATCCTTACGGAGGGTGGCTTAGTGGCCTAGAGCATTGGCAGCTTTGGGTCCAATTCCAAG